AATAGAATACAGTAACATAATACATTTCATAATTGATATTCAATGTTTCATATCTTATTCCACACATAATTATATAAAATTTAAAATTTATTTATTTATTTTCTACAACTATCAGTGAAAATAACCATGAGTTCAGTTGTTTTTTAATGCACGTAATTCTAAGATTCCCAATTGAGTAGTAGATAATTTTTTTTATGTGTAAAGGCATTGCATTATAATAATTAGGACCTAAATAATCAATAAAATGTTGACCAAAAGATTTTTTACAATAAAATACTTTGACATCAAAGGCCATCAATTCGCGTTTTTTTCTCATATTTTCCATAAGAAAAAAATTTTTATAATTTTTTATTATGTGCATAATAGATACCTTTTTATATACACTCTCGACCGGTAACACATTCAACAGCTTGAAATTTTCACTAGTTGAACCTATTAAATTATTTCTACCTAAACAAATTCTGATAACTTTTCTTTGTAATAAAATTAGTGGTCTAACCGCGTTTTCATTCAAACCTCCCCATACCAACAAACCATACTGAAATATTGCCTGGAATAATGATAAATAAATTATACGCATCACGTTCACAGGCAGGAAATTCCTTAATTTAAAAAAGCTAAACGATAATGTACGCATGCGCATAACAATAGTCTTTACATGCAAATTCCATCTCATATTATTATCAAAAATTAAGCCCAAATATCTTATACTAGAAACCATGTATATTTTATGACACATGTTGTCATTACAGTTATCTCCATTACCACAAAAACAGAGTTTTAAATCATCATGATTGTTCTCTTCTTTGTTTATTGAAAAATTTATAAAATTAGTTTTATTATAATTAATTGATAGTTTCCTATGATTTAGATAGTTAATCACTTTTTTTAATTCTTTAGTTGCTTTTAAACGAACATCTTTCCACGACACACCGGAAAACAAGATACATGTGTCATCCGCATAGGTTGTGATTTGTCCATCAATTTTTAAATCACATATTGAATTAATGTATAATATGAATAATAAGGGGCCCAGGACACTACCTTGTGGTACTCCACATTTAATACTCAATGCTTCACCTGAGGAGTTCATTATTTGCACAATTTGTTTCCTGTTATCCAAATAACTTATAAACCATTTTAAACTACAATTATTTAGACCAAAACTTTGTAGAATGTTACAAAGTTCGTTATGATTGACCGTATCAAAGGCTTTAGCTAGATCTAAAAATATTGCCATTGCTTTATTGTTATTGTCAAGCGCATTATATATGAATTTGCTAGCACTGTACAGTGCATTTTCTGTACCCAACCTGGGTCTAAAACCAAACTGGTTTTTCGACAGTAAGTTATTATTTTCCAAAAACTCTACTAATCTATATTTTATAATTTTCTCTAATATTTTTGCGAAATTGCTTAACATTGATATTGGTCTATAATTATTCATGATCTTTGAGTCACCATTTTTATATAATGGTTTGACAATTGCAAGTTTAAGTTTGTCAGGAAATATACATTCAGTAATACTTAGGTTATATATATATGTTAAAGGTTCAATAATATTTGTAGCAATAGCCTTTAATGTTTTCACAGATACTTCATCAAAACCTGCAGCAGTTTCATCCTTCAAATTATTTATTATTTTTATAATTTCTTGATTGTTAATTTTCTCTTTAAAAATCATGTCAAATGAGGCTTTTGTGCTTGGTTCATCATAAATAAAATCCGATTTTTTTATTTTACATGCAAGGTTACTACCAATATTTATAAAAAATTCGTTAAACAGGTTTGAAACTCTCACCGGATCTTCCGAAGGAATTATAAGTTCATTGTTATGGATTAAAGTTTTAATTGCATCACCTTTATTAATTTTAGACACTGTGAACTCTTTTATTAATTTCCATGTTAATTTTGGACTATATGATATATCAGTAAATTTTTTTTTATAAAAATTATTTTTTGAAGTTCTTAAAATTCTAGTGAAAATATTTCTGTATTTTATATAATATGAACGCAAATTATCATTATCCGGGTGTTTTTTTACTTTTAAAGATAATGCATTTTTTCTACGTAAAGAGCGTAGCAGACCAGGAGTCATCCATTCCTTTATATGATTATTTTTCGCATTCGATTTTTTAAATGTTGTCACCGAATTTATCGCACGAGCAATCTTATCCATAAAAATATTATAACAATCATTAACATTAGTGATAGCTAACTCTGACCAGTTTTCTAATTTTAAAAATTCATTTAACTTATTATAATCTATAGTTTTGTATACATTATTACCAAGTGATAACGAAATGTTATTAAATTCAAGAGCAATTACTGTGGAATAATGATCAGAAATATTTGTTTGTATAACACCTGCCTCAACTCTATTATCTACATAATTATTACATTTTAGAAATATATGGTCTAAACATGAATGCGAACATCCCAGAGGAGTCCTAGTAAATACATTGATAAAAGAACTAAAGCCGTGTGCCGATAAAATATCGAGATAATCATTATTAATTAAGTTACCTAAAATATTAATATTCAGGTCACCAATTACCATGTAATATCCATTTAAATTACAATCAGCTTTTAAAATACTATCAATTGAGATTAAAAACTCTGCTATGTCACAAGACGGAGATCTGTATACACACAATATATTAAATTGAGTATCATTAACTGTTAATTTTAGTTTTAAAAAGTTTGCCACTAAATATCTATATTCATACATTTCTACTTTTAAATTTTCCTTTATAAATACAACTATACCATCATTTTGATTTCTTTTAAGTGTCGAAAAGTGCAAATTGTAACCAGGAATCTTATAATTACAGTTATCTACTGTATGCCATGTTTCGGTAAATATAATAACATCTAAAGTAGAAAGGTTTTTTTCACTATTTATATACAGAACAAATTCATCAAAATGTGCATTAATGCTTCTAATATTACAACAAAAAATACTTATGAACTTATTATTAATAAACTCATACCTATCTATGAATTCCGTAAAAGATTCGAAATAATTGGTTTTATAATCTAGATAATTATTTAATACATTAATATTATTCATGGTATAAAGAAAAATTATTAAAATTGACAATTATTGTAAAAATTTAAAATTATAATAGTTTGGATAGATCTAAGTCGTCCTGCACAATATAAGCTTTAGAGTTTTCATCTTTTTTTAAAAATATTTTTAGGTCTTTAAACCATACAAATTTGAAATTATTAGATTTTGCAAACATTCTAGTCTTATAAAATAAATCTCTATTGAACGCTGTCAGTTCATTATTAATGAAAATATTACCTTTCTCCCAGTTTTCATTCAGGTGTTTAGTGTTTAATTTTCTTTTCTTGACATAATCCATTAATTGATGTTTATTTTCTGACGAATTTATCTTTGCAATAATTTTTTTCGGTCTATCACTATATTTCGAATACATCCGGAAAGCATTTAATACTGATAGCTTAACACCCAGTTTAGTAGCAATATTTTCGACAACTTCCACACAATTTTCATTTTTTTCTTCAGGCACTCCAATTATCTCCACATTGCTTATGATTGCAATTTGTTCTAAAACATTAATTTTTTTGGTCAGACTGCCAATATCAACCTTTAATTTACAATTAGTTTCTTTTAGACTTTTATTTTCTTCTTTTAATTCTTTTATAGAATTTAGAACCTCCGATAATTGTTTACCAAAATTATCAAATTGATTGCTCATGAATTTAACCGACTCAATTAAATTTGCTAAAGTTTCATTTGAGCCAACAAAAGAATCTTCTTCTTGCGTAATAACCGTATTAATGATCGTCGACTTGCATTTTGCACAGCACCACTTCTCTTTATTTGCTCCGGCTAATTTTCTGAAGTTAGCTTCTCTCATTCCTCCACATGAAAAATGCAAATATTTCTTGCATTTTAAACATTTTATATCATCGCCTTGAAAAATGTCTTCGTTACAAACCGAGCACAACATAATGAACAGTACACTTAAACAGTAGATAAGAGAGCGAATATCAATACGAATGTCGACTATGCACATTGAACGCACGTATGAAACTGAAATACTTTAATACGATTTTATTTCATGTTATTTATAACAAAAAAGGACAGAAAGTTTTTGCATACAAATGTATCATTAAGTGAAGTGTTAAGTAAAGTGGGTGTAGTGTTTTATTGAAAATTATTAAGAAATTAATTTTTTTTTTTTGAAATGTATCTAAAACAAAATCTATACAATTTACAAAAATTGTACTTATAAAAAACTGGTTTACGGAAATATGAACAGAGGTAATATTAAAATTAATATTTTTTGCAAATAATACAATTTTAATAAATTAGTATTAAGAGGATGTTATTGTAAAATTAAACGTTACTTTAGTTTTTAAATCATTATAGCCTGGCCCATACATTTAAAACATATTCTCATTAAAGACATTAGACATTATCCTTAGAACACAAAGCCAAATACCTCGACAGTTACTAGTTCAAATTTCAATTTGGATAATAACATACACATTTTCAAAAAGCCATATAAGACTAACGAATAACAATTTATAAGAAAAAAGGATGATTCAAATTTAACAAGAATTAAAGCTTACAGAAGACTTTATATTATATACAACATTTTAGTATTTAAAATATTATAAGAATTCGAATATTTTATTCGTTATTTTATCTTATGCCTATATAACGGTCGTTGTAGCGTATGCGAAATCGTCTAGCCTTACAATCAGTGAATGATATAATATAGGTGGCATGATGTGTGTCTAATATAGTAATATATACCATAACACGCCACCGTTGACTCGTAATTCTCTGCATTCTCGGAAAACGGATGCATCTCATTGGATCGGAAATGAAACTGCTCGCAAATATAATACCACATTGATCATAAATACTTTATAATTTCTATATATCAATGATAAAGCATACAAAACTCATTCCACCGTAATTTTGTAGCACTGCACACCACTATAGTTATTAATAATTGCGGGCGACGTGACTCTGCGAAAATATTTAATCGAGAGTCGTATTGAAAATCAGACGGCGTCACTGAAACGTTGGTGAAACACTGAAAGAAATTAAAAATACTAGAGGCCATCATATATCAATAATCATTAAGGCTGCACATCCTGCGGTGTCCAAGTCACCATCAGCTACATTCTCACTGAATGCCGAACATACCATAATACCCGTACAAGCAAAAATCTGCCCGAATCACTAACCGAAATACTAAACAATCACCCTCAATCCATTGCCAACATCATCCAATTCATCACAGCAGCTAATCTTCAAAACAAAATATAAAAATGTAAAATGTATAATTAGAATAAGTATAGACAATTAATAACCATAACCTATGTAAACCCAATAGCCCATTTAACCGAAGGTATAATAATAAAAAAAAATAATAATAATTTAGACTGACCGAAGATGAGAAATAATATAATAATATTTTGTTAAATTATAAAAACATTTCCTACTACTCTCATCCTAACTATTCTTACTGAAGTTATATTGGATGGTTATGTTTATGTTGGTGGGTTATAAATTATATTTACTATGATACATAATAATTATGATTTATGAGGTATTCACTATTCATGTATTATATTTTGATATCTTGATTATGATTAGGATGTATAGGTTTTATTTTAAATAAATTTAAACAACGATGTAATTATTGACAAGGAGCCATATGAATCCAAATTCACTAACGATAAGGGTAAGCGTTTGGAGGTTATCTTTCAAAAAAATTATTATACGTTTTACTTTTGAGTTATTGTATGGCTTGTCCTAAATATTGTAACTGATGCGAAAGAAAAAAAACAGATAATATGAAATGTTATGACTGTGTTGCATTAAGAAGGTGGATAAACTATAAATAATGCGTAAATAATTTTATGGCAAAATGTAAGAATTACTGTGTAATGAAAATAAACTATGAAAAAAGTAACCGACGTCGTTTTATGAATATGCAGTCCATTTATTTTAAGAGTTTGATAAAGGTTACAGACCTATATTATATGTATACTATGGTCTACATATAGTATGCACTTACTGAAAGTTGTGATTTGAAGATTTATTGTTGTACTAATTTATTTCGTGATTTTTATTAGTAAAGCTATTTTGTTTCTATATACGCTACTACTGTATCGTTACTTTTCACCAATTAATGTATTATAATACCACGATACGGCCACTTTCCATATTTTTTACATTAGGTACATACTTTGATGTTTTCCGTTGATCAGTTCTACTAGTTTTTTTGCTTCCACTATGTAGTGAAATTTTCAACTATTCTTAAACAAGCCTTTTTCGTGTCACCGTTGTGTAGTGCGACGTTATACCACTTGTACCTACGTTAAACTAGTCTTGCATTGTCTTTTATTTTTCGATACTCAAGGCCTATTCACACTAAATGCATTAGCATCAGTTGCGATAACGTACTTTGATGGGATGCTCTTTTTTAATTATACATATTATTATTTATTATTATTATTATTATTATTATTTAAATACAATATTCTATACTGGATACGACGAGTCAAAAACCGTACACCTCTGTAAGGGGAGTCGGCGCAAGAAATAAAATGTCTTTCAGTCAAATGCGTCGATTTTAAATTCATACCAAATGAAAAACACTATATTTTAGATGATAATATGATCAGAAGATACATGTAATTTGACACACATAAATTAATAATTTTGTTTATAATGCACATAGTTTTCAATTGTGTGAATAATCAATAGAAAGAAAAAAAGGTTTGATGTTGACTGATTTAAAATTTAATATTATCAAAAGTATTTAATCTTGACAGTCAATGTAGTGTTGCCTTAAACCATGATTACAATGTGCACATAATAATATATCATTGTAACTTTATTGTAAGGTATATTGTTCCGTTAAAGTGAAATAATGAACACAATTTTTGCATGGTCTTCAAAACCCCATTCCCTATTGAACATGTTTATAATATTAAATTACTTAACTAATTATTGTGGTCTACCATGATAAATTTATATTATATATTATGCAAGTACCTAACTTTCCACTGAAATTAAAACTGAATGCAGTAATATGATTTAAAATTAAAACATTTTTCGTTGGAATATATAAAACAGTTTACACTTTTCTTCAAAATTGATTATGAGACAGTTCTTTTTTTTTTTTTTGAAATGTTAAGACTAAATTTTAATTTAACCATTTGAATAATATTCCAAAATAATTTTAAATGATTTATTTTTATTATATTTAGTATCAATAATATTATATTATAAAGTGGAATTAGAGTATACATTTTCCTATACCTTTGTACGTTATATTTTACATTAAAGCTTTAATCTAAGTACAAGTAACCTATTAGATTTGTGTACGAATAATTCATTTATCTAAAAGGTGGTGTGTTGTGAGGTTGTTGTTAGTATGATAGTTGTGTAGTTTTAGCAGTTATAACATAAATTATAGAATAAATAGCTGCCCATTAGAGAATATTGTTTGAATTTACTGTCTACTGTCTTTTGAAAGAGTTTACGGTAGATGAAATATGAATAATGTCTACCAAATAAATTAGGTTTAGTCAAACATTTAATTTAATTTCAATTGATACAAAATATACAATTCTCAGTATTGTTAAACTAGTATAACATTGGATGTGGGCATAACAAAAAAATGACTTCACAGAAAACAAGTATAATAAGTACACATGAATTTAAGAAGTTAAATCATTTTAATACTCAAATTACAAAATATGAAATTGAACTGTAATAGTAGTACACAGTTTTTTAATATTTACTTTATCTTAGTATATGACGTCACGATCGCATTATAGACTTGTCACACATGCATTTAAATTAAATAAAAAATTATATAAAACAACTGAATGTTTAAAATATTGTTGTTGTACCCTTACAATAGTGATCTAACATTCACAACATAAGAACACAAAGTTAGTGTTCGTAATATATTACTACATTTGAACTCTGAGAGTGACTTCATATCAATTCATTGTCCTTTTGTGTGTCATTAATCACTACCTTTTTTTTCAATGGGATTGATTACCTATTTGATTTATGGATTTGAATTCCATGGCTAAAATATGTATTGTTATGTTTATTGCATTCCCATATAAATAATTTCAATAATATTCTTTTTATTAATAAAAACATATCATAGTAACTTTAGTTACTATATAATAGTGATAATTTAAAATTTTATTCAATTACTAGGTAATTGGTAATGCATTAATGGATAGACAGTGGTGGTCCACTGCTTTTGGTTCACTGCCAAGCTCGTTGTCAACTATAAAAATAATGAAGATTAGAATTCCGTTCAATAATAACTCTCATAGATATATTAATTGTTGGTCTGTTATTTGTGCAATATCTATTTCTATCAAAATTGTATTGGTCGTTTCAGACAAAAAGATTGTAAAAACCAATGATTTTGAGTTATCAATTTATTTTGTACGAAGTACCCAATAGTGTTTCGAGATTTATACAAATCACGATTTCAGTACAAGTGTACAATAATATAGTGCGATAATAGTTGGTAAGGTCGATAATATATATTATATGTATATTTGTATATAATATATCAGTAGTTTAGCTTAGTTAAGTGATTTTATTAAAACTATAATCTAACTGTAGGTACCTACTTTTAATTGATTTATGTTTAGTCATTCAATTTTATAATATTTTCATGTAAATGATCAATTTATAATTTTTTGAAAACAATAGTTCACTTTCATAACTTATATTTTAGGGTGGTTCAAATTTATAAATTTGAACAACTCAAAAAAGTGTGAATGTGATATAAGATGTCAGAAGTTTCTACTTCTCCTGCAACAAAACATTGGGCTTAATTTGATTGAAGGTGGGATTGAAGATCGCCGAATGAAAGGTTGACTGAAGACAAACAACATGGATATCACATAGCCAAATCAGAGAAGCAGAATTATTGACCACACTTGA